TAAAAGGAGCGTCATACAAGTTTATGATAGTTTATGATAAGATGGCTTAGCAGCCAAAAATTTAGAGACGATTATTTATGCCTTGTGCTTTTAGAGCCGTTTTTCTAAAAATACGCTCAATTTTGAGATACATTGTATATGTGGTTGACAGGAATAGAGCCCTCCTGCATTTTACCCATTGAGAATTGCATATTTGTGAAATCGATGACAGTTATTCTGAATCACCCTGTAAGTGTGTTCGTCACTTCGGATTAGATTATTATCCTGAGAGAGAGCTCCCAGAAACGGTTCTGGAGAGCTGATACTCCTGCCAGAAACTCGATATTGGTGTTATGCGTTGAGTGCATACAGCCGAGAGCAATACGCAGACAACGATATTGAATTCGTTCCAATTTTATTAGAATACTTTTTCTTGCCGACAGAAAGTAGAAAGAGCCGTACTTTAGAACAGAGAGAATTGTTGTTATGTAAAGCGTTATGAGGTCTCCCTGATTAGCTTCCAATTGAATGGAGACAAGTGATCCTCTGTTGACATTTTTGCTTCAAATACGTAATATGGGTATTCCAAAAGCACTTTGAATCAAACCGGACCCCAAGCTACTTGAACGATAATGTTTCAGCCCAAACAAATATTTTGCACTTCGGCTGGGGACTGCTTTCGAGTAAACACTTTCAGTTCAGTTTTCAGCGACGAGAATTCGATCCCTAGATTCCGAGCCCAAGAAGACAATTTATCTAAGCAACTTTGCAATGGTTCTTACAAGCCCATGGCACCGTCATCTGCAAGTTCTCTTAGCATGCATTGTTCTGCCAAACAGTTGTCGATATCTTTGACATAAAAGTTATAAAGAAGAGAGCTTGGGGCAGGCCCATGTAACTAATTCTTGAAGTTGTCAGTTGTCCAAGAGAAAAGTTCATTTCATTTTCTGACAACAAATTGTATAAGAAATGATTTTAAATTCCATAAAGTCCCCATCTATACAGATTGTCTGACAGAATTTCAATTGAAACTGATTCAAAAGCCTCCTAAATTTGCGCTTAAGGCCAGTTGAATATCTGTGGAAGCAGCGCACAACGGGAGTTTTTTTTTTTTATCAGAAAAAGGCATTTAATTCAATATCTCAAATTGCCGCTGGATATGATGGAATATTTATACATCCATCATGAATTCAAATTTGAAATTCTTTTCATAGCTAACATTGTCCTTCATAATCGTATGTATCAAATTGAAAATAGGACTTAATATTCTTGAGGTTCAGCAGTACAATTTTCAGTAGAAACAATTAAAGTATGTGGAAATAGTTACTTTGATTGGGGTTTTAGATGCAAACTGAACAAATCATATCATTTCTAAACTAAAAAATTGAATGGAATCGAATGAAAGGGGTTTAATTCTGGTAAAATACGGAAAGTTGAGATTTGTCCTTGAAGACACCTCTTTTATCAATAACCACTAATATTTATGAAATAATCGTTATAATATTATTTTTGATCTGATACATACTATTATGAAGGACAATCTTAGCTTTAAAATGAAACTGGTTTTATTAAAATCGATTAACATTTACTTAGTAATCGAATATAACACTATTTTAGACACTATCAAAGTGCCGTGTACAACCAATTAGACATTCGATTTCTAGTCAAAAAAAAACTACAAGGGACAGCCCTATGGTGGATAGGAATTTGAGCGGGATTCTCTCTTTTTAAACTCTTTAGTATGACGCGCTTGAAATAGATGGCCCACAGCGACTCACGAAGAGCTACTGATTTCAATCAATAGCAGTGCGGCTTCTTCCTCCTTCTATGGATGCCCGTGTGGGTTGCTTCTCGGTGCTTTCAGGCAGCCTTTCGTTGTGTACTGGAGCACACCACCACTCACCACACGGTGATTGAATAAACACCGTTTGGTGAGACCGGAGTGAATTCAACTTTGAAATCTGTGTACAATTTCCAAAAGTGAGATTAAAAAAAAAATTAAGTCTTCATTTAAGCAAATGCGTAGAAATATTTCTGATCGGTTGGTGATAAAATTATTGAAATTGGTTCAGGGGCAGCTGAGTTATTAACGTTCAAAATCTTTCATACTTTCGTTACATGTTCCATTTTCGGTGCTCACAAAGTGTACTTCCATATAGAAATCACAGACGTATTCCTACGTCAAAAGCTTACTTTTAATGTATAAATATCCCATCATATCCAGCGGCGTTTTAAGATATTGAATGAAATGCCTTTTTTTTGAAAAAAAGAAACTCCCATTGTGCAGCGCTAGACATTCGTTTGTTCCTTTGCTCTTGCGGAACCCAACCAGTGTATTTGTATTTGTATTTGTATTTGTATTTTTGTATTTAAAATAATTCATCTGACAATTTAGTCTTAATGAATAAAATTAGAGCTAATTTAACACAGACCTAATCCGATTTTCAAAACGTTCGGTTGGTTCATTGAACTCGAAAAACTCTTCGACAGCCGTAAACGCACGAATACACGCTGAGATTGGTTCGTTGTTCCCAAACATGGTTCGGTGAAAATTTGGTTGCAGTAGCGTTGTATTCCGAAGAGATCTGCTCGGCACACGAAAGTTCAACCGTTTCACCATTCAACAGCTTAGCAATAAGCAACGATTGCTGTACTTTCCGTCGTTGTTCCAGTGTGTCTAAGCCCAACAATCGGCATCTATCAGGATACGGCGGCAAATTGTCAGGATCACTCCACGGCAAGTTTCTCAGTGCCAGACGAATGAACCGTTTCTGAACCCGTTCAATCCTTAGGCACCACGTGACATGGTGAGGATGCCAAACGACGGACACATTTTCCAAAATTGGACGGACAAGTGCACAGTTCAATGACTTCCAACAATGTGGATCCGAAAAATCCTTCGCAACTTTGGAAATAAAGCCCAACTGTCGCGTTGCTTTCGATATGAGCGCTGAACGGTGTAAATCAAAAGTCATTTTGGTGTCTAGTTGAACCCCTAGATCAGTCACACTGGTAACTCTGGTAAGAGTATCGCCGTCAATATGATAGTCAAACAAAATTGGATGTACCATGCGGTGAAACGTGATTATCTGACATTTTTCCACACTAATAGTCAGTTTGTTTCTCTGGCACCAATCGGCAAACAAAGTCAGCGAGTTTTGATAGAAAGTTGTTTGATTCGATACAGTGTTCGAGTCTCCAAAACATCATTTTCTCCAACATTTTCCTAATGCATGAAAGTATAGCAATTGGACGTATCTCCATTCAGACGGTATAATGTTGTTTGCAAGTAAGGAATTGAATAAGTCTAGCAAGCGTCTTTTAGCGATAACTCCTCGATAAAAGAAGAGCCATAGATAATTCTAGCCTTGTGGATGGTCTACCCAGAGAGTCGCCGCTCGGAGACGCTTTTCGAAGAATATGTGGTGCTGGAATTGAGTCCGGACAGACATTTTTTAGAGAAATCGAATATCCATCAGTTGGAGCATTCTTCACTTTCATTAGAAGATGAGTGGTTCCGCATGTTGCGAGCCACCCTCCACAAGGTGTTCATGGAGGTTTTCGCGAGTGAGCTTAGTTTTGAAAAATACAAATACACACTTAAAACGGATAAAATGTTTAATCAACACAATGCTTCATAAAGAAAGCAAACGTTCCAAAAACTCTGATGACCTTCAACGTTTCTTAACTGGGAGTTCCCACTACGCGCCTCAATCCACTCGAAAGGTGGATCAAAATAATTGGAAACAATGACGCTTGCTCTTGACAACCGAGGCTATTGTCTCGACCACATTAGGAGAGACTTATATGCAAAATCAAAGTGCCTGGCTATTTTGGTTTTACCTGTAAACCGCAATTTGGAAACACGTTTTTATTGGCATACCTTTGTAATCCTACTACTGCCTGTGTGACTGAGGGTAATGCTTCAAATTAACTGCTACCACACCTCGAAATCGGTTAAGCCGATTTGTGGGGCTGAGGACAGGGTACGAGATAATGAAATAAATGGGGCAACCATGGTTACCTGCTTTTTGTCGTGGAGAATCAGTAACCTTCAAGGGGTCGAGCATTATAGGTTGAAGACCATAGTTCAAGTTATTTAATTGTTGATGCATTCAACAAACAACTAGGTATTCACACAAGCAATCATCGCTCATTAACACATCGGCGGAGCACGTGCTCTCGTTTATGCTATTAGCGATCAACAACGGCCGAATCACAACCCATGAAACCTGTTCCTTCGCTGTCGCGTGAGGGGGTGGGAATCTAATTGTTTTAAGCATTAGCGGAAAGAAGACAACATGAGCCACCAGCGACTTCGAATGAATTCTCCTTCTTCAATGTTCAGTGCTTGAATTCATCCGACTCACCAATACTCACTCGTGCAGTAGGAGAAGTAACACATGTTGTCATGTCAACATGCCATGTTCCAGAGCATAGGCGGAAAAGAGACCACCATAAAATCTCCCAGTGATGCCGATGCTTGTTGCCACTCTCGCCCACTTGCCCACAGACTGGATGAACAACCGACGACGGCTGCATTGATGTAAGGGAAAAAACTACCCCTTATTTGCGGAGCACTTTTTCCTCCGGAGTTGGTGTTGTTACTGCGTTACCTTGAGCAGGGTGAAACCTTTGAGGCTTCGTTTTTCCTTTCCATGCCTCCACGGGCTGGTTAATGTGTGTATAGGTAGACTGGGAACCGGGTGTGTGTGGCCACTGTGGAACGAAGGGATCACGTTTTCATTATGTTTAATATTTATTTGATGAGCTGTGGCTTTCTGCATTCAGTCCGTGGTTGACATTAGACGTTAATGGTTCAGCGGTGATTTATTCGTTCGGTGTCATTCGGTGGTGAAGGTGTATTTTGCTCAATGTGTCGTTGAGTGTGGAAAAGGTGAAAGTTGTTGCGTTTGGCGTTTCCGACCGGACCTGCACAAATTAGTGGATTTTGGACTGTCGAGTATCAGTTAAGTGAGTGCTGTGTGAAAATTTGCATTTCGAATCAACTGAAGACGAACAAAATAAACAAGAAAGGTTTATCGGTGATTGATATAAAAAAAAAATCATTGTGAAGAAAAGGGATACGACAACGTACATGAAAGACATGATGTCCAGTGCTCTGTCAACGGATCACATCCTGCGGCCTCCGCAGGAGAGTGCAATCTCAAAACCTCGTGCCGTCTACAGTATCGATCAGATCCTGGGTAATCATCACCATCTACGGAATACGAGTAGTAGCAGCAATAACAACAATCATAGCAGCAATGTCAACAACAATATCAACAACAACAACAACAACAACAACAACAACAACAATAACGGTGAGTTTATCAATGAGGTAGTTTGACTCAGCTGTTTGATCAAGCTCCGTACTTTTTAACACGTTATCATCGGTCATTGTAGGCGGCGGTGTGGGGGTGAAGGGATATATATCGTGGGAATTGGGCCAGCTGTATGGTTCAATTGGCTAATGATAATCTAATAAATCAATTGTCAAAATTGTGTATCTATTAAAGGTGAGGGGGTGGCATGAAAGCAGTTTATTGTGTGTTTGGAATGAGGTTATTATATTTGCTTATTTCGCTAGGAAAGGGTGTTTTGAAGGTTGGTTGAATGTTGGTGAATGAGAAAATGGACGGAAACATTTGCAATCGATTTTTCGGTGAGTTTTGGTTAAACACACCTGGCGAGTTTGGGGAACTGAAATTATTGGTTTGAAACGATCAATATTGGAGGACTTTAATTAATAGATAATAACATTTACGTTCGGCGTCACTTGTGTTTTGATGTTTTAAAAGTCACAGTTCATTAAAAAGTCTGCTTCAAATTTTCAAATTTCTCTCCTTATTTGTTTTAAGAAGTTAGAACTCTTACAATATCAGTGTGTAACTTTAACATTAATTATTTAGTTAAAGCTTCAAAAAGCTTTAAAAAGTTTAATTTTTTAATTTTGAGTATTGAGGAACTGAATCGAATATATTAAGTATTTCTGAATTCAAATTTTTATGGACATCTATCCGTGAGATTAGAACTTAAAGATAAGGATCTAAAGTGGTATGCAATCCAAAAGTATCTTCAACTTCTTGATCAACTTATCTAAAAACCCCTTTTGAATTACTAAATGCGATCACAAGTGGGCAGCTAGACCAGTAAACTGGATCAAAACTATTTATTTAGTGTTTTGAATCGAAAATGTTTTATGACTTTAAACACTTACATGTTTTCTAACTCCAAACTATCAGATCTAATTGCACCTTTGTGAATAATATAAAGAAAGAGAAAAGTAGTAGTAATTTCTATTTAATGTCACTACCTTAATTGCTTATAATTGACAAACTAATTCAATACACAGAATCCCTCGTTCGAGGTTTAGAACTTTCACTTAAAGAACATTGATGAGTTTTCTGTCCATTTGCAGCTAGAACGATTTTTTTCGGAAGAGAGCTCAAAACAAACTCTTGACCCACCGATAGCAGTTTTTTAGAAGTTTTTCCGTTACAAATCTTTCAATACCCCATGATGGTGTAAGGGACATGTCGTTGTCCATATATTGTCAGAACTTGGCGAACAGCTTAATCCACTCGAAAATAGTGATTTCCACAATAAAGTTTGTCGAGGTTTTTGTCACATTCTGCTCCATTTATGATTGCGTAGAAAAAATAAAGGTATTTTCAGACATTCGTGAATGATTACATGCGAACATTGCGGACTGTAAGATATTCCAGCTTCCTGATGACATATCAAAAGTCTGCAACTCCTAAGCTCATCTTCAAGAAAAACGCAACCATGCCCTGATATAAAATTACCCCTTCACTATTGAATTGTTCTTGCTGTACACCCCCAAAGTTGGTACAAATGTTATAATTTATCATCCCGAAGCACACTTTTTCCTATAATTCTTCAAAAACATTTTGAGGAAAGTATAGCTCTAAAATACCTTCCAGACAAGTGTCAAAACAATGAATTTTATTTTGTACAGGCGTTGAAAACCCCAAAACGAAATTTTACCCCACTCGAATGTTTGCCCCATATTCATATAGGGGACGACAAGATTAGACGGCCACCCTAAGGTTGAAATAAAATTTAACCATAATTGTATAAAATTTGCGCGATAAATCGAGTGAATATTTATCTTCAGAGTACTTTCCCTAATTACATTGATTTTCAGAAATTTCCATTTAATTTGATAAAATAAATAATATTTGAATATGGTATTGTATTGCATGAATATTTTTTGATAATGTATCCCAGTTTGCCATCTTCTCTCCTATATGCAGTCAACATAGTAAACATTGAGTTAAAAAGTGCTATAACTTTGCAAGGAATGCACATTCTGTCATTAGCAAAAACATTTAGTTTCACTTTTGTTTACATTCTGTATAGCATATTTATAACCTCAAACTTTATTATATAACTAGTTAATAATTACAAACCACAAAAAACGCTCCATATCTTCCAAGCTATTAGAAATAGAAAGTTTTTTGAGTAGTTGTACAACATTGCCCCAAAAAGTACCCTTCTACCTCTTTAGGGAAAAAGGTAGGTTTTTTATTTTTTTTTATAGAAGGCAATGATACATTTTTGAATCTTTACGATTGTGGGATATTCTTATGAAAACAATTACTCGAAATACACTCGAAATTAAGTCAATAGTTTATACACAATTCAATCACAATTCAATTCAATTCGTGATTTTGCCATCTCCGACCACTTTGGGCGGGGGCTGGCCAGATAATTTAAGAAATTAATACCGGAGTATTTTTTTTTTGCATTTCATGGAGGATTTGCGATGTTTTAACAGATTATGAAAAATATACTCCGCTGCAAATTTGAATTTCTTAATTTATTGCCTATTCACGATCATTGGCTTTCTTCTTTTATACACTTTTGTGCTACACGATAACGTCTCATATAAAGGTTGAATCTATTCATTCGTTTTGAAGATACAACTTAATTTTTAAAACATTTAAAATTATGTAACGAAGTGTTTCTGAATAAACCTTTTCGTTTTCCAAAACTTTGAAAAACATTCAGAGAACTTTATTGTCCTCATTTTAAAAATCCACACAGGATAACATTCTGAATTTTGGATATTGTTTAAACATTCATTCGCGTAAACTTGTGTTTCATTTCACGCAAACGAGTTTCTTGTAAGCAATGTTGCTTATAAAAATGAGCTTTTGTATATAATATTTGCAACAATTCATGAAATTTCTCAGAACTTTACTCGATTTATAATGGACGCTCCATTTATGTGCATCATAAGGAACAGAAATTTACACTAGTTTTTCGAACTTTGCATGGATGATATCAGCTAAGTTCTATAAAACTTATACGAAGGTTCCTGTACTTCTACAAAGGCTCTTAAATTCAATTTTAAGAACTCTAATAAAGCTTCCTGATCTTCTTGCCAAGTCATTTAACTTATCCCTGAGTCTCTATAAAGGTTCCTAAATTTGTGGAAAGTTCTGCGAATTGCTGAAAAGTTACTTCCACTGCTACGAAGTTTTCTGAACTTTCGTGATTTTTTTATAGCTTACACAAACTACAACTAAATTTTATTTTATTTTTAAATTTTTGCTGGCCTTATAAATATTTCCTCATTCTCTGTTTCCGGAAATTTGGCATAGATCATCAGAACTTAATCAACCTTAATCAACATCTATATATTGCTGTCTAGGAAGGATTTCTGAAAGAATATCTTGTAATTTTTGCAACGTTTCCTGAACATCTACTAAACTTCCTTTAGTTTTTCAAAATCTCCACATCTTCTGTGAAGTTCCCTGAATTTATTCCAAATTCCATATTTTTTCAATCTCTCTTAATTCTACCAAGAGCTCTGAACATCTTTGTACTTTTGGAAAGACACTTATCATCTAAAATTATTTTTAAACATCTGGAAAGTTCCTTGAGATTTATCGAAGTTCCCAAAACCTCCGAAAAGCTCATGGAGCTTTTTTGAAGTACGATCCTTGACAAACTGCAACGGAGTTCCCTAAACTGATGTGTGGATTCCTTAAGTTCTTAGAAGTGGATTGAACCAATTTAAGATCTTCTACAAAATTCCCTGAGCTTATTCAAAATTCTTTACCCTTATATGAAGTTTAACGCAGCTCCTCAAATTGGCAAAACTTCTACAAAATTTGCTGCACTTCTACGTTTCTCGTTGATTTTTCACGAAGTTTCAAGAACGTAATTTTTAAAATTTGTACGCAATTTTCACAACTATTCCAAGTCCATCAGGCTTAAAACTGTACCCTAAAATTATATGAACTTACCTAAATTAAAATAAGCTTCCCTTAACTTCTACGAAGCTCCTCAGATTGCTGCTTCTTGTCCAGAACATATGAAAAGTAGTCAACACAAAGGACTTGAAAAAATAGTAGATCGAACTTGATAAGCTTGACAAAATACCGGTGAGTAAAAAAACACCAACAATTCTAGAGGGGGCCTAGATAATTCCCCCCAACTAATCCGAGGTTCTAGTAAGTTCCCTGAACTTCTACATAATTCCTAGCTCTTCAAAGAAGTTTTGCGAAGTTTCTAGATTTTCTATTTAATCCACTCAATATGTTCAAAATTCGCTGAACTAGTAGAAATTAACTGCTCTTCTTTGAAGCTTATCGAACTTTAGAGAATTTCGTTTATTTTCTGTTCCCTGAAGTTCTATTTGAAATTCTATGCAATTCCCTAAACATTTTTTTTATTAAACAAGTTTTAAAGACAAACCATGGTTCCGGAATTTTAATGGAGTCTACTATATTAAAACAAGGTTTCAGTTACTGCATTGTAGTTTGCCAAACTTATACGTGCTCCTCACTTTTACGAATTTTTCCAAAAATAAAATCGAAGCCCTCCGATTTTATATTAGATACCAAGCATTTCTACGATTTCACTTGAGCATCTCCAAGGCCACTAAACTTTGAAGAAATTCAATGAAGGTAAAGAAAAATACCAAAACTTTAACGACCTTCCTCAAATATTTACAAGTTACTATAAACTATATTATTAATTTGGATTTCTTCAAAGTTCATTGAAGTTGTATGAATTTCACTGGATTTCTATTATGCACGCTAAGCTTTAACAAAAATAGTTAAACTTCTTTAAAATTGGTTGCATTTCTAGAAAATCTCCAGAATTTATACGCAGTCCCTGATGTTCTTAAAAGTTTTCTTAGATGCTATGACATTTCTGAGGACTTATGAGTTTTTTTGAAGTTATATAATATTCCCTAAAATTTGAAAATATTCCCCAATATTCAATGATGTTTCTTTGCATACACAGCAAAAAAATAATTTTGATATCACGTCAAAGTGGATGC